TACATATGCACACTCACTCACACATCCGTGCGCATACCCCAACAGGACCCATCTCTCTATACGTAAACCAGATGCAGTCCAGAATATCAGGCCAACTTGGACACAAGTGAAAGCCCTGACTCAGCAGCAGATTGCAGACTGCAATTGCATTTGCGTAACCCTTCAGTTGCTTCTACCAAGTGTAAGGCCGTTTAGAAATACACTGAGAAGAATGCCCCTGGGTATGTGGCAGAGCCCAGGGCCCCTCTGGCAGTGTACAATTTGCCTGAGTAAGGACTGCAGGGTTAGGATATCAAGGAGCTATCAAGGAAGAGGGGCTCGTGTTAATATGGGCCCTGAAACTAATAAGCAAACATCCATAGAATAATGCACTAGTGTCAAAGAATCCTTATATATCTCAGCTTTAAGCAAATTTCAGGCAGAAGCGGAGAGAAGTATGTGTTGCTGCTCATAATCACCCAGTTTGACCCAGAGACCTGGGCACAGCTTTTAGGGGTAGATTAAGTTCGAACTTCAATCAGGCAGATTTCTAAGATTAGAAAAGAAAAAAAAAGTTACTTAAAACTGAAGGATCCAAAAGCATCATAAGGGGTTACAGGTATTGGTTTGGGTTATAAATGTTCCAAGAAGCCAAACCTTATATATGGCACCATTTGCAGCAATATCATTAACATTATTAATAATCTTCATAACATATTTATATATACAAAAATAGAGCAAAGCAATTCTAGAAGAAGAGGTGTAAGTGAAGGTGTGGAGCTGTGTGGAGCCCAGATGTCAGTACACTTCAGGAAGATTCGGAACTCATCAAGACTGAGTGGCACGTATTTCTATAGTTGTCTTTTGTTATCTCCCAATATATGTATCCAACAAAGAGATGTGGATGGCCCCATCTTCTTTCCCCTGTGTATGACTACTTCTCTTCCCCACCTCTCCACCCTGCAATACACATCCATGCACACTTTAAAAGAGATGATCTATAGAGTCTGGAAGTCTTAAACTAAGTTGGAGCACCTTGATTTCAAACAAGTGCCCTCAATCTCTGAATTCCTTTGTGAATTTTGGATTCACTTACAGAGGGAAACTGTCTTTTAGCAGCAGTCTTTAGGAGCCTGCCGTCACCTTTGCAGCCTTTTCCCATTGAAGGGGGTTCATAGCACAGGCTCTCTGTATTGTTAAAAAGAGAAGTTAGTTCTCTGCATTATACATCTTTCATCTGAGTTTTTCACTGTTGCTGAAATTTGGGTTGTCAGGCAACTGCCACTGTAGACAAAGCCAAGAGCACAGTGTGTGCAGTAAAGAGCAAGTAGATGCTTGCTTAGGGCTTCTTTCAGCTTTTCTTTTCCACTCTTGAGCTTCTACAAGGTGAGAGAGCCAGTGTCCCCTTGACACCTAATAGTTAATTAGCTACCCACCATGCACTGCACAAAGACCACCACTTAGGATGTATGGTTCCTGAAAAATAATGGTAGAGGAATGGTTTCCTATCATTGTCAGTAGAGTCTTAGGTGAAAAGTCCCATGACTCAATATGGTGCAAGGGAGAGAACATTGAACTAGGGATCAGAATGTCTGTGTTCCAGTCCCAACCCTGTCATTAACTCAGTGTGTGACCTTGGACAAGTCCCTTCCTATCTCCAGACCTCAGTTTTCCCATCTGTGAAATAAGGGCATTAAATTAGATTAATAGTTAAGATTCCTTCCAGCTCTAAAGTTTATGACTTTTTATGTCCATTATTAAGGCCTGAGCCATGCAGTCTCAGGGCAGTTAGCTTCTAAGAGACAACGGACCTCCTGAACATCCTTTGCTTTGTTCATTTAGCTATAAAGCACGTCTGCCTTTGGCACTTGGGTCAGACATACGAAGTGATGAGTATCCTGATTTACTATCCTACTCAGCATGCTAGTGGAATCTGTCAGTACTATAAGTCATTATTGGGAATGGGAGTGAAGCTCCAACTAATTAAACCTGGAAATGTAAGGTAACTTTGTCTCATATGAACACAACAGGTAAGGGTGGTTGTGAGTGCACACATATATATCAGGATATAGACTATTGCTAGTGATCAGTTCATTACAGTAATCCATTTCCCTTAATAAAAATTAGTAAGTAGTATAGCATAGCAAAGTGTGAAGTCAAAACAAACACCTATGGAAAAACAGCACTTTGGGAAGTATTACAGAGAAAAAGAGAGACAGGCAGAGAGAAGCAAAGAGAGAGCGAACAAACAGAAATAGAGGCAGAGCACACATTAGTCTGAAAGAGAGGGAAGGGGGGAGAGAAAACAGAGAAGGAAGAGTGAAAATAGAGAGAGTGGGAATGAACCGGGAGGGAACATAGAACAGGGGGACGAAAGAAGGAGAGAGAGAGAAATAGAGAGGGAGATAAGAGAAGGGCATTAAAGAGGAAAAAGGGATCAGATTCCCTGGGACACTGAATGCTGTTCCACATTGACCTGTGAAAACCATCTTAGAAGAAAGCTCCCAAAGGCACTGCGGAAAGCAGAGTGATGGTCAGAGCCCGCGTCGAGAGGCATTCCATCAGGGAGCCCCTAAACCTCCACGTTGCTGGCTCCATGGGTCCTCAGTAGCCAAGCCTCATGCCTACGTATCACCTGAATTTGCCATGACAGCCATAAGGCTGAGCTGGCGAGGTGTACAAAGGTTGAAGAGGAATGGGATAGATACTGCGAGAGAGAACAAGGCATCCCGCACCAGGATACACTTGGCCATTCCTCTGACATCGCAGGAACAAAAGAGGCAAGGCCCTAACTTTGGCTAGTTGATTACTCCTCCCCCTCTTCAAAGTGAGGCTTATTCTTTCCTGATGGGGGCTAAAGGAGAAAGCTCTGGATCCAGCTTGCAGGAAGGTCATACGGACTTTTCCTGGGCCTTGGGGAAGGGCGCACTACCACCAGAAGAGATTTTTCTGCACACGGTGTTGGTGTGCCTCTTACAACGGCAGCCCGGTCGCCTGAGGCTATCGTAGCCCTGCTGGCACAGATGGAGGCATCCACGGGTGGGCAGGTAGCAGCACAGGCAGGGTAGGAAGAGGGAGATGAGGCTCATGGCTGCCCAGCGGACGAAGCAAGAGCTAGGCCCACAGGAGCAGGGCTCATCGGCGCAGTTGTCTTCATCATCAGTGGAGCAGTGGTAGAAGAGGCCCTTGACACAGCAGAGACAGGTGCCATAATCGAGGAGGCTCTCTGCAGAGCAAAGGCAACGCTGGTTGCAAAGCCAGCAAGAGGGCAGAGGGCGAGCAGTGGTGCAGGGGACACACTTGCAGCGCCCACACTCCTCACAGATGAAGAGGTGCTCGCTGGCGCGCACTACGCATTGCTCGGCTTCTCCCTTCAGAGCACCGTCACCCTTTCGGTGGGCCCCTGCTCCAGGCTGCGTTCGGATGATGGACTGGCCTGAAGGTGAGGGTGTCATGCTGGCCAAGAGCCTTTGATCAGAGGCAGTGGTGCTATGGGACATTGAGCTGGCAATGCTAGATTGGCTCAGATGCTGAGGCAAGGGCTGCAATTGATGGCACTGGCTGAGACTGCGCGGGAGAGCAGTAGGCATGGTGGCCAGGGACCAATCAGATTTGTGGGTTTGCACAATAAGGGAAGGGCTAGAGAGGGCCTGCTTACAGGGGGCCGGAGGCCGCTCCACATAATCATTGCTAGCATGAGTAGAGCGCAGCTGTTCGATAGGCAGAATTTGTTGGAAATCATCTGTCATTGCGGCATCCATTTTGCCTTGATTCTTGAGCTCCGAGTGGTTTGGGGTCAGGGTGGCACTTATGGTGATAAAGAGGAGACCTTGTAGTTACATGGATCTCAGGGCACATCAGAAAATCCTAAGAGGGAAGGAAGAGAAACAATAAAAGAGAACACACAGGCGTAAGTACTTGGCAGGGGACCAAAAAAGCTCAGAACCTATCACTGCCACTGCCTTCAATCACTTTGCTGGAGTCTTCATGTTACACCTTTAGTTTGTAATTGATCTCACCTACTTCTTCACAAGTAAGTCAGATCATCCATCCCATCCAGACTACAAAGCACTTTGAGATCAAAGTTCAAATGTTTGATTCCGTTGTATTCCATCATATGACTGGGTTCACAGAACTAACTAGCTAACTCATTCAGGTGTTTGCTAACACAGAGAAATCTAAACCTTGAGCATCAGAATTCTAATAAAAATGGAACCTAATTTCAAATGCAAAGGCCACCAATCAAACGTCCCCTTTCAGTGACATTTGTGACAGGAACAAATGAACAGATGAGAAAGGACATTACTTGATCCAATGACTACAGTCAAGCAAACAAGATGTAAATAATGACAGAGACAGGACAGGAGACACAACAGGCAGGAATTAGGTTGTCTACGTAGAGAAACAAAGCTTCCCGAGAGTGTAAGGAATAAGGAAGCCAAGACTAATAATCCTGTAGTTTTCCTCATCTTACTGTAGCAGTGGGGATGAGGAAACCATAGATGATGACCCTTGATTATTTCAAATATTGTATCTATTACCACTCTGAGTCAACTGTATATTGCTGGAATTTACTACTAGGTATAATCTGCATGGACCACTTTTCTCTATCCTTACCTTACACAATAAACTGGCTTTGTTAAAGAACAATCAGGTTCTTATGCCATATTTAAGCTAAGTTGGATATCTAGAAAGCACAAGCTTGTGTCTCCATTGTACCACAGTCAGGAAGAGTTGGGTGGTCATTCCCTGAAGGATCCGATCAAGACTAGTGCTGATAATGGTGACCATAAGGAAAATATTGCGTGGTTGTGCCAAGAGGAGACTGCTGTATCACACCACCTGGAAGACTGAACAACAAAAAGGAGTACACAAAGAAACCCATACACAACTCCAAGAGACATCCTGGAGCCATTAGGACCTAGGGAATACTAGCATGAATAAAGTATATGTTTGAACTCCATCAGATTTCAGGCCTACTCAAAATAGATCAATTAGCCACACTACTGTACAGGATGGATAGCTTGAGTAACAGAAATGAACAAGTGTTAAGTGGATGGTGCTTTATTAGATTTCCCAATGACACTGAAATGGGCCCAAGGTTCAGAAACAGGAAAAATAATGATGCATTTCATAAAGGCTCTGTGGATAATAATATGACCAGACTCAGTTGCCTTTTGAGACTATATCCCCACACAAACCTGTTTAGCTGAATTTACATCTGCTCATTTTTTAAAAAAGAAGATTTAATTTGGTTACAAAATAACTTTTTTTTTTTTTTTGCCACAACACATCAAAGAACCATTCTGACAAAAATTTCACTTTCTAGTTAGTTGTTTTGCTGTTATCTAACTCAGCACAAGACGTTACAGATAGAAAACGACAGAGACTCAAATATCTATGTTACCTTTGTCAAATGCCTTGTTTTCTTTGGGCCTCAGTTTCACCATGTGTATAATTATAGGGGTGGGCTAGGACATCCTGAGGGACACTGCCTCTTTATGCTCTGTGATTCCCTAACTAGGCAATTTGACAAAGAGTTCTCTCCATGCACACTCTGTGCATCTTCAAGTCCTTGAGAGTGAGCTGGGCGATACACCCTGGCTGACTTGAGCATCTCCATGCTTACTGGGACTCGGCCTCCTGTCACGTTCCTCCACTACCTTGCCGGTGTCTTTACAGATTCAAAGCCTCAGCCTTGGAGAGGAACAGTTCTCATCTGAACACCCAAATAAACAAGGACACATTGTTCAGCTGGCTGGGAGGGTAGGTGGATGTAATAACTTTGGATTGGGGATAGTCTTTGGATAGATTTGTAAGAAATGGGTTTTTGTGCTATTAATCAGATAAAGAATGTGTGGAGCCCTTCAAGTTCTTTACACTCACACACTGAATGCATTTTAGACTCATCGATTTCCCAAAGGAAACTAGATTAAAAATATATTAGAAATTACAAGAAGCAATGACTCAAAGGAAGGCATACAAGGTCTCCAAGTTATAGGAGATAATATGGGATTCTAAAGACAGTTTTCCAGGGATTTCAGTAGGTACTTTAGGGACATTCCCAGAAGGTTGAAAGTTAAACTTGGAGAAATCGAGGTCAGAATATAAGCGACTCAGAACCAAGGGGCTCAGTAGCCAATAATGATAACCGTGTTCAAAGGGGATCCTGTCTGGGGAGCAGAAGGATACGTGGCCTTTAGGTGGAGAGGTGTATTTCAATGGTGACTAGATTGCTGAAGACTGAGGAGTTAAGGTACTTGGTTAGGTGATTAAGGGAACATGGGCCTTTGGTCTGGGAAGATGGAGTACTATCTTGCTTACAGGTAAGGAGACTGACAGGACACCAACTCACGACACTTCTTCCTGTCCTGTAAAAATTTTATTAGAGTGGACTCTGGGATCCAATGTGGAAGATCTGCAATATAGACCTGCATAAAGTCAGGCTGTTGAGTTGGATGAAAAAAGGACTGAATGATAAAAAACTGTTTGCCATTCTGGAGGTGCTGAATCCGATCTGGCTAACAGGATGAACTGGAATAGATACTGTAGAGGAAATTAAGAGGAAAAAAAAAAAAAGAGTTGAGGAACAAATAGGCAAGAGATTACTGCAGCACATAGACTAGATGAAAAACTTCTACAACATGCATGCTTATGCTTCAGAAATCCAACCATTAAAGAGCCCTTCATTGTGAGCTGCGACAGTCAAGAAACTGACAGTGTTAGTGGTCAATACCATATTAAATAAGGAGAGAATATCCTTATTAAATAAGGAGAGAGAGAGAGAGAGAGAGAGAGAAAAAAAAAAATATATATATATATAATTAAATAGGACCCAAGGTGATTACAAGTTTTTGGCTGCACATTGATGGGATCTAGCGATTTCTGTCACGTAGTGCCTCTGCAGTAATGAATGATGCATTGTAAACCCACTCCCATCTCAGTCCCTCTGGCCAGGTGCTCACAGATTTTTCAACAGTTTTTCTGTAACCCTGATATTTGCTATGTTCAACCTAAATAGAAATTTCTTTTCTTATGTCAATTTAGGGACTAGCAAGCTAAATCCATTCAAGAAATATTGATGTCTGTTAATGAAAGAAAAATGTGTTTTATCTCGGGAACCTAAAATCTGCCCCTATTACTCTGCCATGCTGGGCTAAAGTTGAAAACTTTCCTAGCTAAAGGCCCTCTGTGCTAACACTTTAAGATAGTTCTGACTTCTATGATAAATCCTTTCTGATACGATATGACTCAATGTTGATTCCACAGAAGAAAGCAGGGAAGAGAAGGAGAGCCTGGCTCCTTTTTCCTCCCACTCCCATGGGTTCAATGCTGTTTTGTACCTTCCTGTGTAACGGCTCTGGGGTGTATTGCTTTTTTCTGTGCTCAGCTGTTATATACCCTCCTTGTCAGAATAACTGAAAGCAAACATAGGGGGACTTTCTGCTATGGCTTTAAATGTTTTCTTAGTTCTACTGTTCCAAAGTCCGCTCTCTAAAAATCCCTCTCTGTGCACAAGCATTTGCATCTCTATCAAAGAGCTCCCCCCTTACAAATACCAAGTTGTATATAGTTTACATTACTAACCTCTCCACCACCGACTGGGCCTCCCTCCCACCGCATACATCTTACTGGAGCTGCCAGGTTCTCACCACAGTTAACTCTTAGCTCGTCACTTTGCTACCCTAGTTCTATTTTAACAGTTTCATTAAGACTCGTAGCAGTTTATTTCAAGTCTTGCAGTTTTAAGACCTTTCATTAAAAGATATAGGCATTTGAAGGATGAGCTATACAGGGAAAAACTGTGATGCCAAGTGAATCCACATGCTTCCCATCGTGAGGAAAATGCTAAGAAGCTAGTTGTTCATTTCAGAAGTAGAGATCTTCCTTGAAACCTCAAATCCTTTTACGAGGGACCAGAAACTTAAAGTGTCGCTCTAGCTCTACTTTGCTGTGTGGATGTGGACAAGTGACTTTCTGGAGGGGTTTGAAAGGAGGGTTTTTAAAGCCTGTCTTGAAGAATTACCCTCCTTTCCTTTCAGTCCTTAACTCCTCGATTTTAAATAAACACCTACAAATCCAAGTCACTCAGATCACTCTCTAGGCTGTAGTTAGCATCTAAATGTATAGACTGTTACAAGACCAGTACTCACCTTCGTGGATAAATTGCCAGCCTGTGTCTTATGCAACTGATGTGTTGGGAACATGACTTAAACAGCGGTACATCCAAATTCATGGGATAGCACATTCTGTTACAGTGAGGTCTGAATGCACCCCAAAAAGTAACAGTTTGCATTTTAAAATAAATTTCCTGCCTGGGAGTGCAAGGTCTGTTTTCTGTTCATCTAACTTGGTTTGCCCTATGCAGAGCTTGAGTGATAAGTATAATTAGTTAGAAGAGTGGAAAGGAGCGTGTAGTAAACCACTGCCCTAGGTCTTATCAAATCCCTATTGGCTAACTAGACATGCTTACAGGTTCTCTCTTTTGACGACATTTCCATATGCCACACAGAGACATGTGCACACACACCCAGGCATGGATCCAGAGATTTCTAAATCACTGCTCTGACTCAATGTAAGTAGGGGGTTATGCCGTGTCAGCTTGCGCCATTTCTACCCAGGGCAAGGTGATGTGATGAAATCTGAACGATGCACAGGCCAGACTGGTGAGCCAATAGCAGACTAGCCCCAAGCTGACAGGATGCCCGCTGGGCAGCCAGACTGGCCTCCGCGTGGGCTCTCCCTGCGTTCTTCGCTAAGGTGGTCAGGCTGCGCTATGAGGGACTGAAGCACGTAGCAAAACGCATTTAAAGGTTAAACAGGCTAGCAAATCAATTGACATTTGGCTACGGAGGGGCTAT